TACTAGGGGTTTTACACAAAGGAAGCAATACAGAGAGAACAGGATACTTTTTCATAAAAGTACATGGTACAGCAGATACATACCAGGAATAGGAAATGTTGGATTTACATATTGTGTAAACATAAACTTCACCTACCAATACTGCCATCTTGGACACAGAAGCTGGCTGTGGCTTCCTGAGGAACCACAGCCAGCTCCCACTGCGTATGTGCAAGCTCAAGCAGCGCTTTGTGAATGGTCCTGAAGCCTGCTGGGACATGAGTCATGTCCCAGAAAATTGCAGGAGGGGAGGGTGCAGGATAAGGGACATCATCCTTGCCTAGGCAAAGATTGTGGAAGTGGGAATGGGTACTGATAAAAATTGATACTCGCTCAGGAGGGGGGAGGGTGCAGGATAAGGGACATCATCCTTGCCTAGGCAAAGAAAAAGATTGTGGAAGTGGGAATGGGTACTACTTCCCTCCAAGAAAAACATGTAACTCAATTACAGGCTAGGGGAGGAGACAAACCATTGGGACTTCAATTTCAAATGAAGTTCAGATAAATGTTTACCTGGCACCTGTATGTTGTCATGTTGTATAATATTAGTAGAGATGACAGTATTCCTGCCACATAAATCTACTACTCCATTTCTGCACAACCCAATGTCACCAGTACTGTATTTTTTTTTTTTTGTAAGAACAGTAAAAGAGTGCAGTGCAACCAAATGCTCCAAACCCTTCCTTTTAACAAAGTTACAGTGGTGTGCCGAAATGCATCACTGGCATGGCTGGATGATGTCACCAGCTGGAGCGTGCCTGGATGTGAGGTTTATTAATACATGTAACCAATGCTATTGTAATCCTAGTTATATTAATGTGATCTATCTGTGTGCATTGGGTTTACAGTGCGCAGCTTTTCAGAGTTGTTTACCTTTGGCTTTTAATGAAAGTGGAGAGTTTTTAATGCAATCTACGTAATGAGAGCTATTTTTATGTTCTTGAGCTAACATTGCTGGAGAGGTATGTGGAGGAGGTGGAGATCTGGTGCATAAAGGAGAAGTGTTGTAGAGTGGCAGAGAGGAGACGGAGATATCTGGCAGAACAGTGGTCTAACTTAAAGGGCAAGGCGTATATAGACCTCAATGTGTGTCTAATCTGTAGGTAAGCAGTTGATGTGGAACGTGGAGGAGCACGTTATTGGTGGTGAATTGTAGTTCACAGCACTGTCACAGGAGAGTTAAATATTGGTGACACATTGCCAGCACAAACGTGGAAGAAAATAAAACTGGTACATTTTCTGCATATATTGTTATATAAGAATTTGACACATTATTGACATGCTGTATTTTTATATTTTGATGTCTTTTGAATCTGTATTTAATATGTATTTTATATATGAAATAGATCCATTTATTTATTTATCGATTGATGTCATTAATTTATAAGGATTGAGAATCACCAGATGGAGTTGTAAGATATAAGGTTTGGAGCATTTGGCTGCGCTGTACTCTTTGATGTGAGAACACATATTGGTGTTATTGCTGCAACACGGTATTATTTTGCACAGTTCACACTACTATTGGTGAACACGGAGGATACATTTTGGTATTTTAGCACTACTGTGAGCAGGGGCAGACTGACAACTCATGGAGCCCCCCGGGCAATAGGGGATCATGGGGCCCCTGTGTCCTTGCCCAAACTCAAAAAAGCCTATGAAAAAGGTACCAGGGGCATCTCATGGGGCCCCCTACTGACCCCCCGGGCCCTCAGGCAGTGCCCGAGTTTGCAAATGGTCAGTCCGCCCCTGACTGTGAGTAATCATGAAACAAAAAGTAGCTAACCAACTTAGAATAGGTGCGCACTATGAACTGAACTGTGTTTAGACAACGTTTGAGTTTGTCAATGACTGACGTGGTATGACAGAAGCACTAGAAAAGCCAGTTTTGCTAGGAATGGGTGCTGGGGTTTCCTTAGCAGATGGAGTAATATGAGTCAATGAAGCTGCTGCCTTCACCATTCTTCATTTGGGGGAAGCTGCCTTTACAATGATCTCTCAGAACTCACAGAAAACATGAAGAAAGCCAGAGCATGTTGCTCTATCGAGAGACACTATGTGGCGGCAGCTTTCACAAGTAACAACCTCTGTTTATTATGGTGCTCTGGCCATAAAGTTCATTTCCTTGATAGAAAAAGATATTGTTTTATGGAGTTTTTGCTGGACAGGCTAGGTTTTATTTTTATATCACTTTGATGTGGATAAGCTGCTTATGGAATCTCATACTGAATACAAAGTTGTTTAAAGCTGGATTTCACAGCAACTCCACAGGTATGTAATGTGTATACTTGCATTGGTCCAAGCTGGAACAATTCAACTGTGTAATACAAAACCATACCTGGAACTCAGCTTTAAAACCAAAACTGCCGTGTAGACTTGGTGTAAAACACAAGGGTGTTAAATGTAGGATTTTGCAGGATAAAAGCCATCAGTAAGATTTATTAAAGGATCAGATGCAAGGCAGACTACCTGAACTTTGCCCTCTAATGTGTTTCACTCATAATGAGCTTATTCATATTTCTACAAGTGAAATGCATTAGAGGCCAAATTGGTCTGCCCAGCACCGCAGGAGTGCAGCTACTTTTTCTTGTTATTAAATTTGTGGAGAACAGACTACTTGGTGAGCCAGCACCCAGAGCAGGGAGGAAATTTCTAGTCTGCAGGCAGGATATCTCTAGTCTGCAGGCAGGATATCTCTAGTCTGCAGGCAGGATATCTCTAGTCTGCAGGCAGGATATCTCTAGTCTGCAGGAAGGATATCTCTAGTCTGCAGGATATCTCTAGTTTGCAGGATATCTCTTGCAAGGATATCTCTAGTCTGCAGGCAGGATATCTCTAGTCTGCAGGAAGGATATCTCTAGTTTGCAGGATATCTCTAGTCTGCAGGCAGGATATCTCTAGTTTGCAGGATATCTCTAGTCTGCAGGCAGGATATTTCTAGTGGAGTGTCACATTTTTTTATGCGATAGCACATACTTCACTTGTGTTTTTAATACAGATGTAGCACTGGTGCTAAGGAGCTGCTGGTCAGACAGCATTCATGCACTCACTCTTCCTAGTGAGGGAGATGTAAGTTTACACCATCATAGGGCAGCTGGACTCTTTCCCACCATCTTCCTTCTGGCTCTCTCTCCCGTGAGCTGCACTGGTCTCAACTTAATCTCTGGACTTGAAGTTGCAAATATGCTCCCCTGCTAAGCCTAGCTGGGACCTCACTGCCTTCACAAAGCTTCAATATGACTCTGGGACTTGCTCTAGTGAATAGGTATCACAGCTAATCCTAGATGGCACCTCGATGTCTTCACAAGGACTTGTCTAGCACTTCTGCCCTGGAGCAGAGCCCCTGCACAGGAATCTACTTCTGCAGGACTGGATCCAGGAATACTGACCCTGTAATAATAATAATAAAATAATAAAAGGTTAATAATAAAATATCAAATGTATAATAAAAAATGTACATTATTTTATTAAATGTATCTTGGGAAGTAGAATTTAGCTGGCCATAATCTGTAATTTTTTTTACTCTGGGATGGATATATTGTATTGTTTTTTAAAAACGAATTTAGTCATAGAGCGTGATGACTAGAGATGAGCGAATTATTCAAAAATTCGGTTCGGCTGATTCGCCGAATTCGCCGAATAAATTCGCTTCGAGCCGAATATATTCGCTGCGAATTTACCTTATAAAAAGGGTGGTTTCTAGGCTTCAGAGAGCCTTTATATATTAGTGCAGAACACTGTACCTTTAATTTAAATGCCCTTGGAGTCTGCTGGGGAAGAGAAATAATACTGTCAGTCAGTATGACATGCAGATGAGTGCCGTCGATCTTAGAATCACCGCACACTTCACTCATTGGGCAGTCACGGGGCCAAACCAGAGTGTGGAGCCACAGTGTGGCGGTGGAGGCAGCAGCAATGGGAGGCCATACAGCACCCTATGACAAAATGGAACCCACCAGCAGTGTGAGGAGACCTGAAAGTGGCACATGGCAGAGTGTGGCGATGGAGACAGCAGCAATGGGAGGCCGTACAGGGACCCATGACACACTCTGGACCTGGCAGCAGCATGAGGAGGCGGTACGGGGGCTCATGGCAGATTACGGGCCTGGCAGCAGCATGAGGAGTCGGTACGGGGGCCCATGGCAGATTACGGGCCTGGCAGCAGCATGAGGAGGCGGTTACAGGGCCCATGGCAGAGTGGCGGAGCGTAAGCAGCTAAAATTGAAGGCCATACAGAGGCCTATGTTAAAAAGTCCCCCCAGCCAGTCAGCGTGGGGAGACGACTATCAAGAGTCCAATGGCAGAGTGGCGGAGCAGAAGCAGCTTCAATTGAAGGCCATACACAGGCCTAGGTTTAAAAAGTCCCTCACAGTTAATTCCAAAAACGAACTCTACTCCTCCGTGCAATCTACTTACGAGACCCTGGGCAGGTCTGGGTCCAATTTGTGGTAGAGACTGGTTTTGTTCAGCCATGCTTGAGCCGAGTAATAACAGGTCTGTGCTGCCCTTTGGTGTCTGGCTTAATGCGCACAACACTGAACGTCCCAGCGTTTGTCAACGATTTGCCGTTAAGTGATGCAAAACCCGCTGAACCACGTTCATGAGGAGCCGGTACAGGGGCCATGAATCAGTATGGACCTGGCAAGCAGCGTGAGCAGACAACAGAGGCACATGGCGCAGGGTGGCGGTGTAGGCAGCATTATTCTGAAGCCATACACAGGCCTAGGTTAAAAAGCGGAAGCCGTCAGCAGCGTGAGCAGACAACAGAGACACATGGCGCAGGGTGGCGGTGGATGCAGCAGTATTCGGAAGCCAAACACAGGCCTCGGTTAAAAAGCGGAAGCCGTCGGCAGCGTGAGCAGACGACAGAGGCACATGGGCGCAGGGTGGCGGTGGAGGCAGGCAGCAATGGAAGGCCATACAGCACCCTATCACAAAATGGAACCCACCAACCGTGTAAGGAGACCCTGAAAGTGGCACATGGCAGAGTCTGGCGATGAAGTCAGCAGCAATGGGAGGCCGTACAGGGACCCATGACACACTCTGGACCTGGCAGCAGCAAGAGGAGGCGGTACAGGGGCCCATGGCAGAGTGGCAAAGCGTAAGCAGCTTAAATTGAAGGCCATACAGAGGCCTATGTTAAAAAGTCCCCCCAGCAGCAGTGTGGGGAGACGACTATCAAGAGTCCAATGGCAGAGTGGCGGAGCAGAAGCAGCTTCAATTGAAGGCCATACACAGGCCTAAGGGTTAAAAAGTCCCCCCAGCAACAGCGTGGGGAGACGACTATCAAGAGTCCAATGGCAGAGTGGCGGAGCAGAAGCAGCTTCAATTGAAGGCCATACACAGGCCTAGGTTAAAAAGTCCCCCCAGCAGCAGTGTGGGGAGACGACTATCAAGAGTCCAATGGCTGAGTGGCGATCCGGGAAGTCAGCGTTGTGATTGCAGATGCAATGCAGAAATTCTACGAAGTAATGCCGTGGGTGCGAAGAAGATCATATACCGTCGTACTTCCATCCATAAGACGGAACAACCTGCGAACCGGGAGCTTTATTGCCCTGACCCGCTTGAGCAGCTTCTGGGATACCCAAGAGCCCCATGGCAGAGTGGCGGAGTGTAAGCAGCTTCAATTAAAGGCCATACACAGAGGCCTATGTTAAAAAGTCCCCCCAGCAGCAGCGTGGGGGAAGAGACGACTATCAAGAGTCCAATGGCAGAGTGGCGGAGCGGCAAGCAGCTTCAATTGAAGGCCATACACAGGCCTAGGTTAAAAAGTCCCCCCAGCAGCAGTGGGGTGACGACTATCACAGAGTCCAATTGCAGAGTGGCGGAGCGGAAGCAGCTTATTGAAGGCCATACACAGGGCCTAGGTTAAAGAGTCCCCCCTGCAGCAGTGTGGGGAGGACGACTATCAAGCGTCCAATGGTGAGTGGCGATCCGGGAAGTCAGCGTTGTGATTGCAGATGCAATGCAGAAAATTTTTATGAGGTAATGCCGTGGTTGCGAAGAAGATACATATACAGTCAGTACTTCCATCCATAAGACAGCGCAACAACCTGCGAACCGGGAGCCTTTATTGCCCCTGACCCGCTGAGCAGTTTCTGGGATACCCAAGAGACTTTTGGCTTCTGTGGGAATTATGGTTGAAAAACTGAAACTTTAAAGGCATGTTGATGGAAGGGCAACCAGTGTCATGTGCTCCGGAGGGAATATAGCTTCTAAGCTGACAACTTAAAGGTATATTCGACCGGTCAAGAGGACCAATGGAAAGTGTGCGAGCTTGCGTCTTATATCGACAGAATCTGGCAGACGTGAAACGACTACGTGCCGTATATGAAACGGGTTGTGTTCCTCATTCTGGAATAAGGTGTTGGAACTGGCCACTCGTTTTGGTGTGGCCGTTTTGGTCTATTTAATTCCGATAACGGACTCTATCCTCCGTGCAAATTCTAGTTACGAGAACCCTGGGCAAGGTCCTTGGGTCCAATTTGGATGGTAGAGGACTGGTTTTGGTTCAGTCCATGCTTGAGCGAAGTAAATTAACCGGTTCTGATGCTGCCCCTATGGTGTCTGGCTTAATGCAGCACAAACTCTGAACGTCCCAGCATTTGTCAACGATTATGACCGTTAAGTGTCTTGCAAACACGCTGCACTCAACGTTTCCTATGATCGAGCCGGTACAGGGGGCCATGAAATCAGGTATGGACCTGGCAGTTCAGCTGTGAGGAGGACCCGAAAACGTGGCACATGGCGCAGGGTGGCAGTGGAGGGCAGCAGTATTCGGGAAGAGCATACACAAGGACTAGTTTAAAAAAAGCGGACAGCCGTCAGCAGTAGTGAGCAGACGACAGAGGCACCATAGACGCCGAGGTGGCGGTGGAGGCAGCTGTATCTCGGGCAAAGCCATACACAGCGCCTAGGTTAAAAAAGCGGAAAGCACGTCAGCAGCGTGAGCATACGACAGACGGCACATGGCGCAGCATGGCGGTGGAGGCAGCAGTATTCGGAAGCCATTACACAGGCCTAGGTTGAAAACTGCGAAACCCAGCAGACTGTGAGCCAGGACGAACAAGGACGCACGATGGCAGAGGGATGGATCTTGGCAGCAGTATGAGAAGCGTGGTACAGGGCCCGTGCCACAGTGTGGTGATGGGGGGCTACAGCAACTCGGATGCCAGAAAGATGGCCGATTAGGGCCTATATACTGCATGGGAATTAATAAAGTTTTAAAGACAGCGGCCTATAAGGCTAATACACACTATAGTACACAATCATGACTTGAATGAACCATCTGGCCTATATACGCTATACATTCAAGCATGAACATATATCATAGACTTATTCCTGAGAGTGGGTTTGGAAGGCGATATACCAAAACGTAATTCCATGAGCAGATCCGGCACAGCGGACAATACAGACTACATATATACACAATCTAATTCATCACGATGTCCAGCCAGCGGGCCTCAAGAGGCGACACCATATAGAGATAACGCAATTCATGACGCTGTTCAGAACAGCGGCCCTCTCTACGGCCGACCAGATATACAAAATTCAATTCCCGAGGTGTTCAGAGAGCGGCCTGAACGGCTTAGGTTAATCTACTAAACTATATTTTTGTTGGCCATACATCGCGCCTATAATTACATGTCACACCAGTGACAAAAAAAATTATGTCGCCAGACAGCGGCCATCCCTAAGGTCGAAAGATATAACAAAGCAATACCCTGAGGAGTGTACAGTGTGCGACTAGAACGACTAGTCGTTATTACTAAATATATCTTTCTGGCCAAACATCGGCCTATAAACTACGATGTCTACATACAGTGACAAAAAAAGTAGTCGAGCCTTAACAGCGGAACCGTATCTCCTACAAAAATTGACATTATACAGCGAAATGGTTTAGACCCAAAAAAAAAAAAAAACAAACTTGTGATGCGAGGCTATACCGCTTAGTAGATCTGTCGGAAAGATCGACAAGTCAAAGCGTAACTGTGTACCTTCTACAGAAAATCTTAACAAGACAATCAACATGTGGTTCAACCACCGAGTGACCGGTACAAACAAGTTAAACAATGTAAGAAACACCAGGAGGGCGGCCACAAACGTGGCCAATATAAATAAACTAGTCCACCTCATTGATGAGATGGACAACACGTGGATCAAATAAATCTATCTTAAAACAAATTTGCATATTCCATCGGTCCTGGAACTCGGTCGACTTTACAATAATTCAAAAAGATTTAAATTCATGTGACAGAGTAGTCCCAGCGACGTTAAATACATTTAAAAACCACCAATTCATGAGGGGCCCGAACACAGCAGAGTACAAGTCCCATTAAAAAAGGTTCAAATTTCATTGTGACGGTCGTCCCCGCGAAGTATAAATAAATTTAAAAACCCCAATTCATGAGGAGGCCCGACTGCAGAGTATAAAGGCAGTTAAAATGTGCCAAAACATGAGTCGGCCGTTCCAGCAGCCTCTCACAATAAAATATAATATACCAAATGGACGGGAATCAGGTGAGCGTTATCTCTTACCAAAATCAGTCCCTACAAACAATAAATTTGGGGCATCATGAATTCTTCAAACTACATAATAAATTATATTAGACAATACAGTATAAACCCCCCCCCCCCCCCCCCCCCCCCCCCCCCCCCCCCACTGGTGGGTTGCCCCCCCCCCCCCCCCCCCCCCCATATATTACATTTATCTTATATTTACCCCCCCCCCCCCCCCCTCTCCCCCCCCCCCCCCCCCCAGCCTCGTAGCTCCCCCCTTTTTTTTTTACTTTTTTTCCTGCCCCCACTCCTCCCCCCCCCCCCCCCCCCCCCCCCCCCCTGGAGGCCATTGTTCAGGAACGGTGGTTTGTAAATCCAGACTAATCCTCGCCTGCTTCATTTTCCACAAAACGTGAGTCTCTCCAGCACTTTGGGTGGTCAGTGTGTCACTCGCGGAGTTACAAGTACCCCCTGCCGCACTAAACACGCGGCTCCGATGCCACGCTACTGGCCGGATTGGACGCTCTACCAAGGGCAAATTCAGCGGTTGGGGCCAAAGGTCCAAGTTTCTGTGGCCCAGTAGTCAAGGGGATTGCCCTAGCCCGGTTGGTTGAGGGTGCTGTCCAAGTAGGCCCAAAGCCTGTTGTTGAGGTCCCTGCTCCAGTCCACCTGATGCTGCTGCTGCTGCGGCTTGGTTAGTCCGTTTCTCTACTGCGCTGGTCAGGAAAGCTACTCATTGCAATCGACTGCAGGACTGAAGGCAGCCGCTGCTGGTGGAGCTGCCACTGCGCTCATACCACCAAGCCAACTCCCCTCCCCTGCTGCCATGTAACAACAAATCAGCGGAACCGCTAGAGGCGCTACAGGGCCCACAGTGGTCTGAGGGATGGACGTTGGCGCAGAGCGAAAGGCAGAGACCAACTGACTACATAGGTGGATTTGCGGTCTTTATTGTACTTTTATTTTCGGTCTCCCTCTCTCAGCACAGTTGTGTGAAAAATGCGCCACCATTTTTGGAACGGCCTAGCGAGGGTCCCAAACAAGGGTGGGACAGCCAAAAAGTCATCCCTATCTGTCTGATGGTTTAATTATTCGGCTTTTTTTCTTTGTCTCTTTTTTTTTTTTTCGCTACGCAAGCACACCGAGCATGCATCATGGGCCCATTGTGTGCCAAGGGGGGGAAAAATTGCCGGAGGGAACCGTTCCCTGCCTTCCCATCTCCCACAGCATACTGGCCTACTGTGCGTCGGGGCTCCTCTGTTCTCCTCCTCCTCCTCTACCAGATACTCCTGCTCCTCCACTCCTGTCCGCCTGAGTGGAAAAAACACCCATTTCACTCTATAATTCCTGAGCACCAATGTCCTCCTCTACTCTCCTCCATCTTCTTCCTGTCCTGCCACCCACAGTCATTGGTCTTGAGATCTGTGCTCCACGTCTACCGCACCTAACACCATTTTAACCAGCATTTGCTTCCAACGTGCAACAGAGGAATGACGTCGTTCATCCCAGATCCCATGGGCCGACCACGAATAGCGTGGCCTCCCAAAGGGCCCCTAAAGGAAAAGCCGGCAGGTTGTCACCAGGGAGTTTCCCAATGGCTAAACATCAAAATTTAACACAGGGGAGTCCCTTTTTTTTTCCCCGTTTTGTAACATCGGGGAAATTCTAAAGGGGCCCTTTTTTTCGCTGTTTCCTTAAAAGGCGGCCAAACATATGTAGGGTTTTTTGAATTCCACCTTGTTAAAAAACCGCGCAGATCAGGGCAAGTTTGGTTGGAAATTCCCGGGTTTTTTCCCGCGGGGCACTCAAGGGAGGGGGGGCCCTTTGGGGTGTGGGGGTTTGTTGGCTAAATCCCATGCAAAGTTTACGTGACTTTTTTAAGGATGTCTTCAGGGGGAAATGGGGGTTTTTTGGGAACCCCCTTTGAAAACCCAAATTTTAACACGGGGAGCCCGAAATGGCGCAGGGCCCACAACCTTCCTTGACGCAGAGAAAAAACCCCAAAGTTCTTTCCTTTGGGTCAACATGGTTCCGTTTTCCCAGTTTGCGGGGAAAAGACACCCCTTTTGCGATTTCTCTTTTCATTACCCCAAAAGAAGTTTCCTCCCCTGTGTGACTCCCGTTCCCAAAAGGCAAAACCGGGTGCAGCACAGCGTGAAAAACCGTTGGGCCCCCTGCCCCCATGTAAATTGCCGGTGGGGTTAATGGACTTGGCACGGGGGTTTGGCGGCTGAGGACAACGGCGGAAGAAGAGGGGGGAAAGGGGGCGGACATTTTTCGGGCCCAAAGGGAAACTCCCAAACGTGGGGGCAAAAGCGGGCTTTGACCTGTCCAAGTTCGGTGGGGCGGGTCCCCGGCACCAACTTTTCCCCACCCAGGGGGCCGTAAAATGACATTTTACTTTCCCTGACCGTATTTTTACACTCCACACGGTCGGCCTTTTGGCCGGGGCCCCTTTGGGGGCAAAAACCGAATGGTTTTTTCAAAGGGGACCTGGGCCCACCATCTTTTCCCTACATGTGAATGCGGGGCTGGCACTGGCCTTTTTGGAGAAAAAAATCCCGGGGCGGGGCACCTCCACCGCGGCCTCGGCACAAAGCATCATTTTCTGGGAAAAGGTCCCGATCCCCCCACTTGGAAAGGGAGGGCCCGGCAGCAACCGCAACTTGGACAGAGGCCCGTTCAGTTTCGGCCCCTTTCGGGGCGTCTCGCAAACTTTTTGCTTTTGGAAAAAGGGAAATTCCCCAAAAAAGACGCTGACGGGAATCCGTGAAGGGGAATACCCAAGGAAAGGACATCTGAACGAGCGGAAAGATCCCAAACCCGACCCCACAACCCCCCTCAGCAGAGGTTTTGGAGCCTTGCCCGGGGCTGATAGAGGGCGATTGAGGGGCCCTGGAGGGCCGGAGCAAGTAACGGAGGGGGGGGTTAAGGGGGGGCGGGGGGGGGGGGGGGGGGGGGGGCAGAACCCCCCGGAAATTCTTTATCAGGGTTTTTTAAAGGGGGCCCCCGGGAAGGGGTCGACCCCGGGGGCATGGGGCGGGGACGGAAAGGGGGCTTATCCCCAAAAAGGGGCCCCCTTGCCACGCTTAAATTTTCGGGCCCCCATAGTCCGACCAATAAACCCCGGCAAAACTTTTTACTTCCCCTGGGTGCGGCTTAAACGAAAAATTGCCAAAAACCCGGGCCGGAGTAGGAAACTTTCCCCCAACCCCTACCCCACGGGGGGCTAAACCTTTCTATTTTTCCTCCGTGTCACCCCGGGGGCCAACCATATTTTGGCCTTTTGGGTTGGTGGGGGCGGGCATTTGGGAGCTGGGGGTTTTTCTACCCCCGGGCCGTTGTTGGCTCCACATACACGGCCAAGCTGGACCCTGGGGGCCAACAAATCCTGGCAACCCCCCGCCCTTGGGTTTTTACCCTCCCCGGGCAAGCTGGCACCCTCTTCTTACCTTGATAAATTCCCGGGAA